TCATTGTTACAAATTAATCCATTATTTTTATTCTCTGATTTGTCTTGATTCTCGACCAGAGAAATGTCAAATACAACACAAATGTAAAGGGAATATGCTAATAAAGCATTAAAATGTACGTATGAAAAATGAACTGCACACTTCGAGTTTACTATTGATTACAATTATTAAGAGATATATTTCGTTTCACTCTTTTTATATTCACCCAAAACTCACTCAAGGCGAAAGCAATTCCTTGCCCCGTTATGCTCCAACTTTCGATTTGTTTTGCAATCCACAATTGATATTTGACTATTCTACTTCGCACATCTTACGCGTTTGATACTGTTTTTTCTCTATCTTACATTACTATTCTTACTTGTCTACTTTATGTCACTATTCTTATTTATCTACCTTAAATTTATCTCTATATATAAAAATTACCTAAAACTTCGGCTGTTCTAACCATTAGTTCATCTCGAACTAATTTTCGCTATCACATTTAATAGTTTAGATTCGTATTCTTTGTCATATTGATCTAACGCGTTTAACTCTTTAATATTTGTGCCTATTTTATAGATATAATTTGCATCTAATTCATATTTTACTAAAAACTTTTAAGGTCGTTGATTATGAATCAAAATTTCAAAATTCAAAATAGCGAGTCCAATATAATAGATCAAAATTTAGCAATTTTCAATCTCAAAAATATATGTATGTACACTAACTTATATATGAATACAAAATTTGGCATTTTGATCACATCAAATTCGCTATTTTAAAATTAAGTAGCAATTTTTTCATGTAGCTCTTACGTTGATCTTTAAATGTCTAGGACTAGCTACCTTAATTTTTGTAAAAAAATGTATTTTTTACTTTTATTTCATTTTGCGAATATTTAACGGTATGCAGATCAAAAGGTGAACTCACAAGTGTGTTCATTTTTTTGTCAAGAATTCTATCCTTCATCTTTAAAATGAGCCCAGAAAGGAGTTACTATTTTTATTTTTGTGGAAAATATGAATTTTTGAAGGACCGAGATGTGTCCCACCAAGCACAAACGCGTTAAATGTTAAGTATCCACCGATAATATAATATTGACCGATTTTAATGTACAATTATATCCTGGAATGTCCACATATCGATCATTTTCATCCAACATCTTTTTGATTTGATATGGTTCTTTAAACTTTAACATTAATTTTTTATTAGACCTTAGTTTGCACTGCAATATTCTTATCAATACTAAATCCTTTTTGTTAAACTTTTGTGTGTCGCTCATCGTATTAGATTTTATTATATTTTTTAGTATATGATTAACTGTATTTCTTACTTCGTTTCGCTCTGAAATAAAATTTTCGTGGATTTTCATTAATTCGTCAATTAACTTCCGAAAGTCATTATTTTTATTTCATTGTTCGTAAGAGAGTAACTGATACGAAGTATCGGAGTTATATTAATTGATCAATGAATAGTATTATTTATATCACGTACTAAGTTTTATTTTAATATTTTTCCTAATTATCAAAACTTATTACAAGTAGTAATAATAGCGCTTTATTAATTCCGCTTGAGCTTAATTAAAGTTGTTTCTTAAAACTTACAATTATTATATACACAACCACTTAACTACATCTTAGCCTAGCTTAAATTAAATAAAAAAAGAAGAGAGCGGTTTGTGTGATGTGATTGCACCTTCACGCTTTCACGCTCGAATCGTTGTGTAATCACATTATCACCTATCTCGTACACACGGACACAGGCACACACGTGCACGTGCGCGCACGCATACACATACACACACACATCGCCTTTTTGAGACTTTCATTTCTTTATGCACTGACTTATAATATAATACATTTTTTATCCCCTTCCTTTTCGTCTTTTTCTGACGCCTACAAATCTTAGCAGAAAGCTTGCTTTTAATTCCTGTAAAGTTATTTCCTGAAAAATATTTGTTTTCTCTCATGTGTTCTTGCAAAAAATATTTTTCACAAAATAAATATATAAGAGTTAGAAGCTGTACAAATAAACTTTCTCCGAAGACTACTAGTATGCAGATAAATTTCGCAAACATTTTGAACACTTATTGTATTAATAAAATAATTTCTTCCAAATTTTCATTCTAACATATTTTCTTGATATCTTGGAAATTATTGAATTTTCAAAAGACATTCTAACAAAAATTGTTAAGTTTATTGAATACTGTCAATATATAGTGACTACAAAGTACTCCTTTCTATTTAAAAAAAATGTTTATTATTAGTGTGAAAAGTGAATATTAAAGATATCAAAATATGTATTCCATCTTGTTATACAATTTTGATAATGGATATCTTCTTCTATCTTTAATCGTTTTCGAGAAAAACATAGTAAACTTTTTATCAGACTCACCCTGTGTACACACACGCACGCACGCAACAAGGATGTCTCTAGATGTTCCATTTTAAAGTTTACAGTGTTATATCTCGTAAACCAATGACTTTATCGAAAAATATTTGAAACAAACGTTGTATGACTTCAAGGGGAACATAAGATAGTGGTAAAGATTTATACCTGAGTAATCGTTTATATACAGACATTTATTCCAGTCTTTAATGCGTGACAGACTAGAATAAGTGCAATTTTCGTACACCTTACTCAGACGGTGATAAATTTGTATATTCCTCGTATTCTATGCGATTAAAAAATGAATTACTGCTTGCTGTTCAGCGTTTGATAATTTTATTCTGTTTAAACGGTATACTAGTATAACATCTTGAATGTGTATAGGCACACTGCTACTCCAATCATGTAATCGCAATTCTACCGGATGTATTATGTATCATGATACTACAGTGATATCACGTCTGTTTCGCATCAAAAATTTCGCAATAAACCTATTCAGTTTTTGCTATCCCTTGGCTCGTTTTCATTTAAATGACCTAATATATAGGGTGTTTTAAAAGTCTGCAAACAGTCGAATATTTCATAAACAATGCATTTTTTTAGAAAAAAATGTTTCAAATAAAAATTGTAGGATTTAAAAATATTTATTTACAGATTTACAGATCTTATCTTTCACTGTAGCATTGCTAAGGTCAGGGCAAGATCATCTTGAATTTTTACTTTTGTTATATTTTCATTTTTTAGAATGTTGAAAAACTATTAAATTATATTTATATATAATTTAATAAACAATATTAAATATAATTTGTTACAAAAAACTTTGAACTAGTTCTATATAGCAAGAGATAATAGGAAACTAAAAAGTAACAATAAAAGTAACGGCTAATTCGTTACCATTACTGTAAAAATGTAACGTCACCGTTACAAACAAAAAAGTAATAATCGTTGCCAAAAAAAGTAACGGTAACAGCGTTACAAGTAACGCGTTACTATTCAATCCTGGAAATTACCATATTTTTAATACAAATCACTTCTGTATAAAAAGTTGTAAGGATAGTATATAAAAGTTGTTAAGATAGTCAAAAAGTAAATAATTTACGAAATATATTATACTTCAGTTTGATATAATCTTATATAAATTATGAAATATATATATATATATATATATATATATATATATATATTTCATAAAATATTCATTTTCCGATAATCTTATCTCAATACTTTTATGTACAAAATAATGAGAAATCAAGTGATGTAAAGAAAATACATAGTTTTTTTTAATGTAATTTACAACTAGTAGCTACATATTTTTTCTTAAAAACAATTATATGTTCTTTACACTAATCGACTTTTATTATTTTGTGCACAAAAGTATTAAGATAAAATAATCAGAAAATGAATATTTTACGAGATATTTTATAGCTTATGCAAGATTATATCAAATTAAAATATAAAATTGTTGTAAAAACTGTTTACTTTTTGACCATCTTACTCTTACAACTTTTTGTACAGAATATTGCGAGTAATCGACATATTTGAAATAAATATGGATTATTCTATTTAAAAAATTCAATATAATCTTGTCCTGATCTTAACATCATATAAGGTCAAAGTAATATATAAATAAACAGAATAAATGAAACAGATAGAATAGAATCTATAAATAGAACTGTAAATTTAAAAATCCTACAAATTTCTAATTAAAACATTTTTTTTTATAAAATGGTTTGTTTATAAAATATTCGACCGTTGCAGACTTATAGAACACCTTGTATACACGCGTGTACACACAGACATATACATAGGATGTTCCTTTTTAATAGATCCGTTCATTTTGGCTACACTGGCTACACTAGTTCAGAGGTTATCTTTTTCCTTCCAATGTCGAGCAAAAAAGACAACCTCTGAACTAATGTAGTCAGTATAGCCAAAACGAACAGACCTAATGCAATACTATGTTACGGAACGACTGCCTTTAAAATGTTTCATGTAAAAGTTGTAAGATTTTGAAAGGACATCTTGTAGTAACCATTGTCTTATTCCAAGTAAAGATATTTTTGAAACTAGGTCATTATTATTTTCTTAACCACCATACACACACATTACCTCATTATAATTTTCCTATACAAAAGGATTCCTTATAATATAATGCATAAAAAAGTTAAATAGTCGAAAAATAAATAGTTTACGAGATATTTTAGCTTTATCCTGACACATTTTATTAATAGTGTTTAAGAGTTGTAAAAATTAATCGACCAAGCTAGCGAGTAAATGATTTATTCAGCTTCACGACGTTTCGACCATGTGATTGTGGTCTTTATCAAGTGAAACAAATAGTATATTAGCTAACAAGTGTGGGGGATCGTAAATCGGCCGAGAGTGCGGAAGTTTGGCGCACAAGGCGAAACCGAGTGTGACAATCTGCACGATCGGCCGATTTATAACCCGCACATGTTTGCTACGATATTTTGTGTGACCGGTGCGTGGAAAGAGAGCCCTTTCTAAAATCCCATGTGCGTAAAGGGCGACTTTTCGTGCGCCGGTTGCACAAAAGAATTTTGTATATAAATAGTGTTTAATTTGACATTTTTTATTAATACTGATTTATTAAGTTTTTATTTTATTATCAAATTTTTATAAAAATATATACAGTTGCATATTGCAAATTTTTTAATCAAAAGAGCATATTTTTCTTATACCGATTAATTTATCTTATTCTTATCTCATTATGCAGAAAATTATTAAGGTAAGATTATTATCGAATGTACACGCGCGTGTATGTGTACATTACATTTTTTTATACGCTTATCTTTTACAGCAGACAGAATTTATTATTTATGAGATGAGGAACTAGCTATATTAGTACAATCTGTATCATGTAGTTCTAAAATACTTTTATCTTTCTTAGTACTTATATCTTTCTTCTCGTTGGTGTATAATTTGTTCGCCGACATAAGAGACAAATGTTTTTCATCAATTATCATAGTTATAGCTGTTTCTCCCCTCGCCTTTAATGCAGATTTAAATACACAAATAGCATTAATAGAAGCAGGTGAAAGTTTCTTACGTTGTTTTGGTTTCAAATTATTTAAAAGGGACAACATTCTCTCTGGATCGTCATTTGAATTTGGAAATGATCTAATAGCATTTAGAAGCTTTCTTAAATTAGGATATTTGTCAATATTATTGATGTACCCATGTTGTAAAATTTCTTTCCACATATTGTCGAAACTTAATTTAGAGAAGCTTCGTTTTTCTTTTATTGTAAAATCTGATGGTAATTCAATCCATTCTTTCTTTAAAGCATTTTCATCAAAACCAGTTTCATCAAAACCAATAGTTTTAGCTACAAAAGAAACATCATTGAATGATTGTTCTCTATTACCATTGAATAAACTTACATGTGGTTGAAAAACTTGTAATTTTGATAAAAATTCGTCCTTTATAGGTAATTTTTTATAAATTTCTTCTGCAGCAGTCACATAAAATATTAAACAATTCTCTCGAACAATTCTAACTATGTCTATGTGTCCTTTCAGCGTTAATTCGACCAAATATTTTTCACATTCTGACCCCAAAGTAATTTCATTAACAGCTTTTTGATTCTCCTTTACAGAGAATATATCTTCTCCTTTAGAAAGAATATTTCTAGAAAATGATTTTAATTTTTTTTCTTTTAAAAAATTTCGACATATTTGTAAAAGAAAATTTTCAGATTTTGACTGTAATAAATGAATCCTCGTTTCTATTGTCTCAAAAAATGTACTAAATGTGTTAAAGAAATTTAAAATGTATTTTAAAAAAAGAAAATAAGCTTTTATCTCTACGTTATTCATCATAAGTAGTAAATATTCTTTATCGGTTTTTTCACATACAACCATTTCAGTAAGAGAATGTTTAATCGTGTCCCAAGATTCAAGAAATCTTTCAATACATAAGTAATCGGAAAGCAAGCATGTATCATGTAATTTTAATGTTTTGCGATTAGTTACTTGGAAACATTCACATAATTCATGAGAAATAATCAAACTTCTTGGATTGTTGTTAAGATAATTAGCAATTTTTTTTAGAAATTCCTCGCAACATGCGGGCATTTTAGTACATGCAGCATGCGCTGCTAACGCGGCGGAATAACATGGACATGAAAATGCTAATAAATGTGGACATTTTTCTAACATTTTTTTAAACAATAAATGTTTCCCTGTCATAACAGATGCATTGTCACATGAGAAGGCAACAATATTTGGAAATGGTATCTGTAATTTCCTCATTTCACATTTAAATGCCTGAAACAACTTTTCTGCGCTTGAATCTTGGACACCAATATTAATTAATTGAATTAATTGCAAACGAATGTCTAATGTCTCCGAATCGACATATCGAACAAGAACGATCATCCATTTATTAGTTGTATCAGATGTTTCGTAAAAGAAAACTGAAAATTTTGTATTCTGAAGCCTATTAATGATGCGATCCATCTCAACCGGATACAAAACATTTATAATAATGTTTTTACATTTTGTTCGCCCCATGCTCATGCTTTTCAACACATTAAGATCTTTTCCTATATATTGAAAGAAGCTAAGAATCTCTTTTGCAGTTTGAGGTGAAATAGTTTTATCAGCCATTAATGCTTTATATTTGATTTCCGTTGATTTTCTACACTCATCAAAGAAAGGCGATTCATTAATTTGTGTATTTAAATCTGCATTTGATTTGTTTACTTCTATATTATTTTTGTTAAACATATTTATATGTGTTTTGGATTCTGCGTGTCGTTGAATGTGCGATAAACCACCAGCAATAGATTTTTCACAAATTGAACAAAAAAATAAATTTGCGTCTTCTGGCACTTCACGCAACCAAAATTTAAATTGCTCAATATCGAGCCATTTTTGTTGAAATATTGATTTACGCGACTTTTTCATTGGCAAATCAACATCATCATTACAATCATCATCAGATACTAATGTATTCGTTTTAATATTATTTTTGTGACATGCAGAATCCGCATGTCTTGATATATGTGTTGAAGTGCACGAAAAAGTTTTATTACATACACTACAATAATAAAGACTATTGTCAGATGGTACTTTACATATCCAAGATTTGTATCGATCATCATTAAGCCAAGCTTCTGCAAAACTTCGCCTGGGTCTCTTGGTCAATTCATCACACATTTCTATATTAATTATGAAAAAGAGAAAAAACAGAAAAAAATTATAAAAGTATATAGTAAAATATATATATATATATGCATGCATGTGTATGTATATATGTATGAATGTGTATATATGTATGAGTGTATATGTAAAAATGCAACTTACTTTTATAAACGTAGTGAATATTATTCTACAAGGCGACAATCAACAAGAAGACAAGACATCTTGAAGCAATCAGAAACAGATTTATCGTGAACAAATTAATTTTTATTGTGATGTCGCACGTGATATGTCCAATATGTATATGCGTAGTCGAATGACGTGATTCATCTCAACCATCTGAAGTCGGAACGTATGTTTTAATTTATACCGCAATCATTGACTCAAGTGATATAGACGATTTTTTTTATTTCGATTGTCTCAATTCTACCATCAATAACTACCAGCCACGCCACGAGACGAACAGAGTTGAACCACAGTCTAACCATACCACAGATTAATAGACAGATCGCCAAAGGCCTGTCTAAAGAGACCGTCATTTTTGCTCCTTACCGACACACTTTGCTCCTGGTTCGAGTCCAGGCTAATAAAATCCTTTAATTTTACCAAAAAACTTTGCCTCTAGTGCGAGTTCAGGCTAAAATCCTTTGATTATACGTGTAAAATAAACATATTTTAGCCTGAACTCGCACCAAAGGCAAAGTTTTTTGGTAAAATCAAAGGATTTTATTAACCTGGACTCGAACCAGGGGCAAAGTGTGTCGGTAAGGGACAAAAATGACGGTCTCCTTTTTATAGCGTTTTCGATTGGGGTGCACTGGCTGCACTGAATGTCAGGCGCGTGTTCGATTGGTAGTGCCAATGCGCACTTGGCTAGTGTTGCGTGTTCGTTTGAACGCACAACACTCGCATAGTGCGCACTCAGTGCGCACTAAGTGGCACGAGATATTTTGACGGTGCCAGTTCAGTGCACTGGATGCATGCAAGCAGTAGGGCATTCTTTTGAACGAAAATTCGACATAATGAGCAATTCGGATTTGGCTCTCTTTAATATTTTGGAGACATTTTTGGAATCTTCTTCTAGTTCAAGCGAGCAAGAAGAAATAATTACAACTCTTCGAACTAAAGAATAATTCCAAAAACTGTAAATTATGTAGAATGTGTGAAAAAAATGGATAATGACACCGTAAGTGTTATATCTTTTTATATAAACATCGAACCTATACCCTTTTTTAAAATATAATTAATGTACTTAATGTAATAGCATTTTTATACTGGATAATAATAATTTTTATATTTGTCATACGTGATATTCTTGATCATCTTCTATATTTAATTACATATAATAAAAATCATTACTTAACTGAACACAAGATGTCGAGGTTACTTTTTCGTTCTTCCCGGAATCTAGTCAACTCAAGTGGCACTGAAAATTTCGGCGTGTTCTTTTTCACCTGCACTATTCAGTGCAACCCATGGAACTTGTCCAGTGTTCGTGTGAACTGAGTGCGCACTAACTTTTTCCCAATCGAAAACGCTATTAGACAGGCCTTTGGCGATCTGTCTATTAATCTGTGGTCCTGCCATTGATCGAAACCCTAATTTTTTCGCGCTAACATCATTTCTTGCGAGAACCTATATAATCAACTATTTTGCGAATGATCTAACTTAGAATTAGGGTGCGATTACATGGACGCGCGGAAACGCGGAAACGCGGAAGAGAAAGTAACTAAACTTTACTAGAGTCCCGCATTTCCGCGCGTTCCGTTCCGTCTGTTTTGATTGCCTTATATTACATGGAGCACATTTTGAGCGGAAAAGCGGAACGGTATAGTGACAAATAGACATTTGTATTAATTTTTTAAATTTATATTTACTTAATTCATTGTAATTCCTTTTAATATGTTCATCTTTTCAACTTATCTATTGAATACAAGCATTTTAATCAATAAATATAGTTAAATATTAATATTTTATAATTCCCCGTTCCGCTTTTCCGCTCAAAATGTGCTCCATGTAATATAAGGCAATCAAAACAGACGGAACGGAACGCGCGGAAATGCGGGACTCTAGTAAAGTTTAGTTACTTTCTCTTCCGCGTTTCCGCGCGTCCATGTAATCGTACCCTTAGACGTTTTTATCATTTATCGTTAGTAATACCAGCATAGGGAGTCTTCTAGTTGTAACTAGTCTAGGGACTAGCAACGCGACCAATCCAACGCAATTTAACAAGCGCATACCTATAAATTACTAGTCGTCGCCATCTCTTGCAACCCTAACGATATGAACGATAAATGCGAAATATAATCAATGTGTGCAAACCTATTAATCAATGTGTGAACCCTATAATCAACGTGTTTGAAATTGAATAATCTTAATTATGGAATAGTTAAAATATTGAATCATCTGAATAAATATCTTAATCACACAATGGTGAATGAATTATAAAAATTGATAAATTCTAATGACCGACTATTTGTCATAGAATATTCCATAAAATCTTTTTCTTTAATTTATAAGATAACGTAAACGATACGCCTTATTTGTAATTATATTTATGGAACCTTACTATCTTTATTACTATCATCAATAATTGAAACTACTTAGATTTTTACAACTTAGTATCAGAGATATTATTCTCCTTTTTTCAATATATTTACATAAATAAGGATTCCATGAATATAACAACATTTCACCGTAATTAAGAATATACCACATTGTGAAATCATAACTATATAATTTAGTAATCATATACCATATAATTTCATTTCATTATATTAAATTATAATTTTAATAACTAAAATATAGCAGAGAATTATATAGAGAACGATTTCAGAAACGTACAGGAGCTAGCAAGAGAACAATAGAAACCCCAACGTGCGGCTACCGTTTGAACTTTCTTTGTCGCCCGGACCGCCCCCGATTTTGATACGATAAGCAACCCCGCGCCTTTCGGGATGCTAACATCTGCACGCCATAAACCTCGGGAACCACAAATCATAGACTTTTACGACTTATTCTCTCTTAGATTTTCTCATCGCCTATTATCCTTATGACCAAATATGGTCACGAGGATCACTATCATGAAGAGCTCACTTGTTGCCTTCTCGGAACCACCAAACAACCTCATAACATAACATGTTTTCACTTTAGAAAAAGTTATAGAATCGATACTCCCGCTTTAAGCGGGAAGCACACACTTTTGCATAGGCGCATAAACGTAAGCATAATAATTTTAATTGGTCTATAAACGTATACATAAGAAATTCAACCAATCGAATTTTTTATGCATATGCTTATGCGCTTATGCAAGAGTGTGTGCTCCCCGCTTAAAGCAGGAGTATCGATTCTATAAGAGTGCCTTCACATAAGGCGTAACTTGCGTACGCGTAACTTGCGGTAACTTACGCCGACCAATCACATCGTCTCATTTCAGTATCAGCTTCTGTCTAGTTATTTTATGCTTTGTACGCTATTATCGTTACGCCGAATTCAATTTCTGGCGGAAGAAACGCTGATGCGTATTTGTAAAAAAAAACACAACTTCATTTGTGCGTTCTTCTGCCAAAGACTAAAGACAAAGAAGAAGTTAATTTTAATCCATCTATATCTATACATTAATAAGATGAACAAAAATAATCAAATAAGAGTAAGTTAACAAAAATTTAATTTATTATATAAGTTTTAATAGCGTTCGATTAAAAACAATCTACTGCTCACGACATGTAATACAAAATTTCAAGTTTAAATTGTATATTAGTAGGTCTTCGTACTTTTTGCATTTGAAATCTGTTTTCTCTTTCTCTAATATTTAATATATTATATATTGATTTCTTGTTTTACATGCATGAATTTTTGAGAATTTTGAGCAATATGAACATCATAATGCATTATTTTCTACATTGCATGTTTAAATCTTTTCAGCACAAATGCGGATATTGTGGATGGCTGTTCCAATTTTCTACTAATTTTGTCGAGCATGAATGCTTCAAGCATTATGTAGAAGATAAGGATCGCATCGTTGTAGATAAAAATTTTGTCGTGACAATATGTTATAACAGTATGTTTACTACATTCTTTGCATATATTTTGTTGTATCATTTTATTGTATTATAGTAATTAAATGTATTTATTTATTTAATAATCCAAGAGAATGCAAAGACTGCGGAAGGTCCTACAGATACTTTGGATGAACTCTTGATCGAAGCAGTGAGGGCTCTTGTCTTCTACATATTTCGTTTATCTTGTCACTTTGCCAGCCATTTTAAATATGCGCGTTTTACGGAACCCAAAGCATCGGTTCCCCATGAAGCGTATTATTCAGGACGCGTAGGTTACGAAAACCAATCACAAGTTCTATTTAGAATTTCTGTTAAAGCATACAACGGAAATTCTAATCTACGATTGGTTGTATTAATTACACGTTCGCGCAATACGCCCTATGTGAATGCCGTTCTTCAGAATAGCGTAACCACGGCGTATCTTTTATTAAATCACTAGATTACACTAGAATACGCAGGTTACGCTTAACGCAAGTTACGCCTCATGTGACGGCACCCTAAGCGCCGTAGCGTAGACGTAAAACGGGGTCTACAATGGCAGCAGGAGTACAAAGTACAAGGGTGCATTCGTTTATGCAGAGACTGCCGCAGAATGCCGCAGATGTCGTTCGTTTACTCCACCTGCGCAACCGACTGCAGCGCAGTTTGTTGTTCGTTTAAGCAGAGCTGCTGCCTATCTGCGCAGCCATCTCGGAGGTCCTGCTCAGGATGCTCTGCTCGCAATACTGCGGACTACTGCGTAAACGAATGTAGTCTTCTCCATTGTTAAGCCAATTGAACTTGGAAACGTTGTCTGAAAATTATTTCAATTATAAGTTATGTTATAAAAGTTCAGAACAAAGAAGGTGGAGAACAACTCCTCCAAATAGATCCTACAAAACTAAAAGTAATGCAAGGTAAGTAATACAATAAAATTATGAAATCTGTTAATTTATATTTACGATCCAATTAACTTAAAAATGCATTTTTATCAAGAATATAAATTTAAAGTAATCTGTTTAAAAAAAATGTGCTTTTGTATAAAGATGCAATTCTGTTACAGTCATTCCTAGCTATCAAGCTACTTCGTCCCCAGTTAGTTTGGAAAAATCTGAGAAGTCTACATTCAGCAACATTTCAATCCTACTGTCATCACTGTCTGAAAATGTTATGTGCACACGTCATATGTCAGAACCTTCAATCTATTTAAAAATTTTATTATATTTATTCAAATAATAATTCATATTTAATATAAATATGATGGTTTCTAAATCGGCCTAAGAGCCATAGCACGAAAAATTACAAAAATTAATTATTCGGAACTGTATCTCTTTGGTACGAGATTACTAAAGTTCCATATATTAATTAACCTCGAACTTACATATGGAGAAATAGGCACGAAAAATATAGATCCGAAAAGTCTGAATAGCTTAGTGGTAAGAGCAGTCGCCCGGAAAGTGAAAGACGCGGGTTTGATTCCCGCTTCAGCGACTTTTCGGACCTATATTTTTCGCGCCTATTTCTCCATATGTAAGTTCGAGGTTAATTAATATATGGAACTTTAGTAATCTCGTACCAAGAAATACAGTTCCGAATAATTAATTTTCGTAATTTTTCGTGCTATGGCTCTTAGGCCAATTTAGAAATCATCATATTTATATTGTTTATATTGAGAGCCAATAAAAAATATTTATTTCTGAGTTAATTCATATTTATTTAAAATTTCTTTACTTACGCACTCCAATTACAATCTGAGCAGTCAATTCACGCAGGTGATCGTTCGGTAAATGATGTCACGTGACTCGCAGATAATAGACGCAGTAGATGCGCAGTGGATGCGCTAATCGCTGCATAAACGAATGCACCCCAAGAGTAAGCAGTAAGCAATACGAAATAGGATTGGCTCATTCCGTTATTCCCGACGAAATGAGCGAATCCCATTTTGTACTGTTTACTGCTTACTCTTGTACTCTGTACTCCTGCTGCCATTGTAGAAGTTTTGTAAAATTAGCCTACCAAAATTAGATTTTCGAAGTTTCAATAATTGGATTCAATAGTTGGTCTTTTATTGATTATTGTTGGTCATATTTTAGCGTTTGTTGGTTATTAGTTTGATTGTTATTAAAAAAATAAATATCAATGTGAAGTTAGCCTATCTAAATATACAATTTTAATAGATTTTAATTAATTATACGTCAAATCGATAGAAAATCGATTGTTGGTTCCAATTATGTCTTTAGAAATGATTGTTGGTCGATTATTTACTAATCATAACAAAATAATTATTTTTCAATCACATATACTGCGCATGCTGTTTCCAACCATTAAGTTAGCTCTAAATATATTATTCCGCGATCAGAGAAATGTACAATTAGATGAAAGAGGTATTTTATACAAATACGTTCAAATTGACACATTTATAATTAGTCTTAGTGTATTTATTAGGATTTTAAGTAATAGTATTAACAATATAAACTTTGTATTGAGAAAATCAGTTATTACAAAATTTATGGTTATTACAGGTGAAAATTAAAAAAAATTATTATTGCTAAATAAAAAACAATTAAATTATTATATTAATATTTCTAATTTTACAGATATTTGACTATGGCTTTGCACCAGCACGGACCAGAGAGCACCTTTTATTAACCTTAACCTGCTCCCGTTGACAACAGCAAGTTTTGCTGATAGACAATTCTCACATTGTCCGGTAGTTTTTTAATTGAAAGAGAAGTTATTAACTATAAAAAGACCAAACTACAGCAGTGAGGATTTCGAGAAACTTATCAGCTAACTTAATGGTTGGAAACAGCATGCGCAGTATATATGCGTATGCGCAGTATATGTGATTAAAAAATAATTATTTTGTTATGATTAGTAAATAATCGATCAACAATCATTTCTAAAGACATAATTGGGACCAACAATCGATTTCCTATCGATTTGACGTATAATTAATTAAAATCTATTAAAATTGTATATTTAGGTAGGCTAACTTCACATTGATATTTATTTTTTTAATAACAATCAAACTAATAATCAACAAAAGCTAAAATATGACCAACAATGATCAATAAAAGACCAACTATTGATTCCAATTATTGAAACTTCGAAAATCTAATTTTGGTAAGCTAACTTCACAGAACTCATTGTAGACCCCACTTTTAAGATCGTCTTAAGGCCAGCGTCCCATGGAGCGGATTATGCGGAAGCGGAACCTTCGGATCGCCAATCACGGAATTGTTCCGATAGAACTTATCGATGAGCTCCATCGGAACGATTCCATGATTGACGATCCGCTGGTTCCGCTTCCGCGTAATCCGCTCCATAGGACGCCGGCTTAAGTCTGTGTATCAATTCTGTAACTTTTTCTAAAGTGAAAATGTGAAAAGTGAAAAATTTCCGCCAATCGCACATCGATTTTATTTTAAAATCAATGCGTGATTGGTGGACATTTTTTACTTTTTATGTTTTCACTTTAGAAAAAGTTATAAAATCGATACCCAGATCGGAGGTTGATTTAAGATTTTGATCAACCAATCAAATGGCTGCGTGGCGTCTTAAGTTCGAACTTATGACTATATTCTAGAGAAAAGTTAAGGCAATAGAAATAAGAAAAAAACAAAATATCAACCAATCAGAAAAGGAGATAGATATTAGTCTCAGCTCCTATTCGTAGATATTTTCTATGTTTTATTCCTATTGCTTGTTGCATTGTGCAAGGGGCTTTACATAATCAATATCCTGCTAGGGAATAAATAATTAGACTGAAAGTTTTGGAAACGCAATAACACGTGATTATCTGTGGTGTGGCCAATGTCAGCTGATGTACAATAGAATCTCTCTGTATTTTGTATACGATTGATTGATTACAAAATTGCTTCACTTAGAAGCTTTATTTGCAAATTTTAGTCTGCTTTTACGAAGAGTATATAATGGCACTTCATTCCGCAGGAAAAGGAAAACTTCTAGCAGTGATTGGCGATGAGGTACGTATAATTTTGTTCATTCTTGATTAATAATATAATTTGTTAGAAATACATTTTTCTCTTAAATATACGCATTTATATTTATGTATTGATCAATTTTACAATAACTTGAATATAATATTTTGTAAAATTTTTTTAAAACTGATCTATATTATAATTAATTTAACTTCTATATAAACGCGACTGTGCTGTTACTTTTTATGAACTATCTTTATAACTTAATAAATAACTTAGATATTTTGATATTTAGCTACTTTAATCAAATTATAGTTGATTTAATTAGCAATTCAAGTAGTAGCTCTGCCTATAACAAAATTTGTATGTATAATAATAGTAATGCAATTCATCATTTCCATTTTAATCTTTCTTTTTATGTGTTAAACAGCAACAAATTCTAATTTTATTTATATTAAAATAATATTAACATAAATACAAATATTAAAATAATCATCAATAAAAATTATAATTTAGTTAAACTAGCTTTTAAATTCCTAATATATACTAAATTAATATAAATATATTAAATGTACACAATGTGTTGTTTATCACTGATTTTTAAACATATATGTATATTGAGATATTGGAAACTAATCTATTTGAAAAAATATTGCTTAGATTTTCTTTGCTTTTTAAATTTATTTTCTGTTATAATATGTTAATATGTATTGCAAAAAAATATATTGCAAACTAATACAATAAATATTATTTTAGGATACCTGTGTGGGTTTTTTGCTGGGTGGAGTTGGAGAGATCAATAAACATCGCCAGCCTAATTTTATGGTTGTCGATAAAAGTATGTAAGATTATGTTAAAAATTTTTATTGTAATAGCTTTTACACACAGAATGCAGCAATGTGTTGTATTTGATAAGACAATTTGTATTGTATGATAGGTAACTAAAAAAGTATTAAGAACTAATTACATACAATATGAAGATAAAATTAGTGATAAGGATCTTTTAATTATTTTAATCACTAAAAGACTATCATTTAAAATTGATATTAATAATTTATGCTATAAATAAAACAGAGATTTGCAATGAAATAGAAAAAAATTGATTCCTGTTGGTAATCTTAAAACTCTTTAGCTTTAGTTTATATGTGTTGTTTCTTTTTTACACAAATTAATAAAAATAGTCTTAAAATAAAACATTAAATTAAACATTATATTTTACTTAAGTAACATTTTACTTTTATTTGATATAAGAATTTTAATTGGAACATAATTAAAGAATTAAAAATAATTAGAATGTTTTTAATATATATTTTTATTTATGGTGTAATTTATATCAGTATTATGAGTATTAAATCAGTATATTTATAGGAAAATTATTTAAACCAGATAATAATCTAAAAAAGATCGCAGCTTAATTTCGAAAAAGAATTTTAAAAAAGTAACTTGAAACTTTCAAAGATCATTTAGAATAAAGTTACAAAAAAAACTTCTTTGATGTGCATAATTTCAAAATTATAATTTTTTTATTTTAATTTAAATTTTTTATTATTGACTTTGAAATTAATCTATTTACATAAGAAACAAATGAGAAAAAGACTTTAGCTAAGACTTTAAGTTTTAAAAAGAACTTTTTAAAATATTTGCAGGACTCATTCTGTGTTAATTTTTTGGTAAAGTTTATATACATTTTAATTTTATCGTTTTTTTGTTGATTCAAACTGATGTTATATAATTTTGTTTAAAAGTGTATTTACCCTTATCATTTGACAATTTTTTATTATTATGAAAAACTGGAATTTAAAAATAAAATATAAAAAATAATTTAGTAAAGGAATTTTCTTGTACTATAAAGCATTCTCTTGTATTATAAATTTCTGAAAAAATAAAAAACTAATTAAGTCAGTTTATATAAAATATGCTTTATTGCTTGCATTGGTGCACTTTGTATGTATAAGTGATATGGACTCAATTGACATATAAAGCACTTTTTTAATGGAAAATTATTATGCTTTTCTATAATTCAGAATTTGAGTTATATATACAATGATATATATATGATGATTCACGAGTGTAATAAATCTTGACAGCTTATTTAGGTTATTCTAAATAAAAAATGTTAATGAACTTAGATTCTATTTTTAATGCTTACGTAGTTATGGAAGTTTTAAAATTTTACTGCTATTATAGTAAAAATCACACACTTGATAGGACAGAAGTGACCTTTGAATAATCAAAATAAAACATGAGAATATGCAAATATCATATAATTATCAAAGGAGATGTATATTGTGTATCATATAATTATAGTTAAGTTTAATAAATGCTCATAATGTACTTCCTGAACTGAATGCATACATCACACTGATGAATCAAAGAATATAGATGTTTGAAGATACTCTACTTCTCATTCGATAACAAATGTGATTTCAAAATGATGTATCTTCTTATTATAAAAAGAAAGTAACATAGTTAATTATATTAGCAGATGGATTGGACGTGGAACTCTTCTATCATGGACCATAGAGATCTCCAGATTTAAATTCTTTATTCTCTACATTTAAACACACACACACACAGATAGTGTATAAATATATACACTGAATGATTTTATTCAAGAATTATTGATGTATTGAATGAAATTGTATTATAATAATACTACAATTGTGTACATTGTACAATTGTGTATACAATTTTTTGATTCATCAGTGCAATGCATGAATTCAAATTCAGGGAGCACATTTTGAGTATTTAGCAGTAGTAAAGTATTTTTTATTGAGTGTACATAATTTTATTTCGCCGAATTTCAATTATGTATATAACTTTAATTCTCGAATTTCTATTATAAACAATTTTAATTTTCCAAATTTCTATCATGAACATAATTTTAATTCACCGTATTTCTTTTATGTAAATAACTGAAATTATATATAAATTATTAATAGAAATTAGGCGAATTGAAATTATAAACGTAATCGAAATTCAAGAATTAAAATTATGCACACAATGAAAATTCAACAATAAAATTTTGTACATAATATAAATTTGAATTAAAATTATGTATATATGTATAACAGAAATTCGACAAATTAAAATTATTAACATAATAGAAATTCACGAATAAAAATTGTGTACATAATAGGAATGCGGGAATTACGAAATAAATATAGGAGAGTGAGTACGTACATACACATTCACATACATCTATCTAACTTTCTAAAAACTGTTACTTTATGTAAAAAAGTGCAAATTTGAACCTTATTATAAAATTATCAATTTTCAAAAAATTTTTTCTTAATAAATTAAATTTAAAAAAATACCGAACATTTAAAAAATTATATTTTATGATTATACATTCTTCTAACTTATCTAGAGCTCATTATTTCCGTAATTAAGATGATTTAAAAAAATTTAAATAAAAAAATTGTGCAAATTGAAATTTGCATATTGCTTCTTTATCATATTAATTCAATTATGGTTTCCTTATAGAGGAAGCTTAACTTGCACATTGATTGATCAAAATTTAATTTCATTCATTAAGATTTTTCCATGAGGAAGCAATAATTAAAAGAGGATAATAATTTTGCTTTCTCATAAGGAATCTTATTGAGTAAAATTAAATTTTGATTAATCGATGTGCAAGTTAAGCTTCCTCTATGAGGAAGCCATAATTGAAGTAATATAGCGAAGAAGCAATATACTGGAGCATGTCTAAAAAGTGCGATTTTTTTACCTCGAGCGGAAAGTAAAATTCGAGTTGTTTTAGATCTCTACATCTAGAATAATGTAAAAACCATAGTGGTTTTTTCTAGAAATGCAGGGAACATTTAAATATCATCATATGTTTAGAGAAAATCACGTAAATCAATATTTCGCAATAAATCTATTGCTTGATGTTTCAGTCGAATATTTTGGTAAATATTTTGGTAACACCAACTTTCCAAGATCATTTAGACCGATTTTAAAGTCAGTCAATAATAAATTGTATAATATATGCATATACAGGGTGTCTAACGTCCGATCCGGGCTCTTTATCTTGGAAACGAATTGAGATATGAAAAAATGTTTCAAACAAAAGTTGTAGAGTTTCGAGGGAAACATAAGATCGTGCCATTGATTTGACCTTAAATAGTCATCTGAAGATCACGTGAAGGTCACTTTCAATTTCTTAAATGGAACTACCTATTTTTTATTACATATTCTTGTATGTTATTTCAAAAACTTTACAAAATCCTATACTAAAATATGTTTTTATAGAGTTCTTGTTGAATTATAAAGGTTTGAAGTTAACAATTTTTTGACATGAAATGTAAAATATCTTATAAAATATTCAGTTTTTGGTAATCATACCTTAATATTTTTTTTGCACGGAATAATGAGACAAATCAACTGGTATAAAGAAAACTAATTGTTTAAAAAAAAGTAATATTCAACATGCAGCTGCATACTTTTTTTATACGTAATTATGTTTTTTTTTTACACCAACTGATTGGTCTCATTATTCCATGCAAAACAGTATTAAGGTACGATTATCAAGAACCGAATATTTTACAAGATATTTTACATTTTATGTCAAAAAATTGTTAACTTCAAACCTTTATAACTCAACAAGAACTTTATGAAAACATATTTTAATAACTTTAAAACACCTTTCTCTCGACCAGAACTAATTTCCTTTATTACTTTCCAATCACAACGTTTCGACTATATTTTTAGTCCTTATCAAGTGATCAACTATACAAAAACATACAGATAACAAGGTTCAGTAAACTACACAATCTCGCCATTGATATTTGACAGTTAGATAAAATTTATACATACTTGTAAAAAAGAAAGAAAGAATTATTATTATAAGTCTTCTTTTGTCTCTTTATCATACGTTAATGGTTAAAATCATATGGATAGAGTCCTTAAGAATATCAGTTTTAATGTGGTACACAACATACTTAACAAATTAAATTGTTTAATTAAAGTCGGGAAAGATAGACTACTGACTGAGAATCCCACAGAAATAGTATATAAAATTAATTGTAAAAATTGCGACTTCATATATTGGACAGACAAAGAGGCATCTAAGTACACGAATAAAGGAACATTTCAATAATATCAAAATGCATTCCAGCAATTTATCTGTAATTAGCAAACATAGAATTAAATTTGACCATGACTTTGATTAATCTATGCCTAAGATCCTACAAAAACACATTAGAAAAAGAGAGATTGCTGAAATGTTTTTTATTAAGAAAAACAAAAACACTATCAACTTACAAAAGGACATTGAAAATTTAAGTAACATGTGCGACAAAATAATAAAGATCGCTTAGTCTTTCTTGATCCTTATGACATATTTGACGTGATGTCTATTAGACACTATTCTCCTATAATATTTTTGGATTGTAATAATTCTTTCTTTTTTTTTTACAAGTATGTATGAATTTTATCTAACTAAAATATCAATAGCGAGATTGTGTAGTTTACTGAATCTTGTTATCTGTATGTTTTTGTATAGTTGATCACTTGATAAGGACTAAAAATATAGTCGAAACGTTGTGATTGGAAAGTAATAAAAGAAATTAGCCAGTTTTGGTCGAGAGACGGGTGTTTTATAGTTATTTATTCTTTATTCTGACTGGTGAGACTCGAGGATTGACACTGTTAATTGATTTAAAATTTTATTATAGGGTTTTGTAAAGCTTTTGAAATAACATATAAGAATATGTAATGAAAAATAGGTAGTCCCATTAAAGAAATTGAAGGTGATTTTTATGTGACCAAATGATTATTCAAGGTCAAATCAATGGCATGATCTTATGTCTCTCTCGAAATCCTACAACTTTTGTTTGAGACTTTTCGTATCTTAAATCGTTTCCAAGATAAAAAGCCCAAGTCGGACTTTAAGAACACCCTGTATACATATTATTCAATTTATGATTAACTGACATTAAAAAAAAAAAAAAATCGTTCTAAATAATTTTAGAAACTTGGTATTACCAAAATATTTACTAAAATATTCGGGTAAAACATCAAGAAATCTCGATTTGTTGAGATATTGATTTACGTGATTTTCTCTAAACATATGATGATATTTAAATGTTCCCTGCAATTCTAGGAAAAACCACTATGGTTTTTACATTATTCTAGATGTATGAGACCTAAAACAACTCGAATTTTACTTTCCGCTCGAGGTCAAAAAATCGCACTTTTTGGACATTCTCCTTTATTATTTCTTACAAAGCATATAATTTTACTATAATAGCAGTAAAATTTTAAAATTTTCTCATAATTACGTAAGTACTGAAATATATATATATATATATATATATATATATATATATATATATTCATTAACATTTTTTATTGATAAAGGCTTCTGAAACAATTTGTTAAATAATCTGTTTGTTACATTTGTTTTAAATCATCCTGTATGTAAAATATGTATTAAATTTAAATGAGTCAGAATAAAATTTTATTTATTTACAAATGTTTTTAATTTTATATAATTTCAATTCATTCTATTTACATATGAACAGTTTTATTAAAATTATATCAATTTTCAGAAATATACATTACTTGTTGCAGAGAGAGATTCTATATACACTCATATTATTATAATATAAATTATAAGATTACTTAATGGGTATAAATTAATGTTAAATAATGATTCTTGTAGACACAGCGATAAGCGAGATAGAAGACACATTCAAGCGTTTTATCAAGCGTGATGATATCGATATCATTCTTATTAATCAGAATGTAAGTAGCCAAAATTTTGTTACATATTTTAATATATGTGTACGGAAACAAACTTTTATTTTGCATGATCATATATCCAAATAACATTACTAATTTAATGATATTTGATCGTAGGTAGCAGAAATGATTCGTCATGTAATTGACAGTCACACTCAACCAATACCTGCTGTACTAGAAATTCCGAGCAAAGATCATCCATACGACGCCAGCAAAGATTCCATTTTAAGACGCGCTAAGGTACCATTTTACGAATTTTTATACTTGATGTTTAACAGTCTATTGTTTAATTTAACTTGTAGCTTTTTATTCTATTCTAAGGAAAATTTATTTGCTACAATTATTGTTTACAGGGAATGTTCAACCCAGAAGATATACATTAATATAAATGTGGCATTGTTGGAATTATACACTATGTATATACAGTTAAACAGAATTATTCGATTGATTATCGTATGTATTTTACATATCTTTTATGTTATTCAGTAAATAGATACAAATGACATAAAACTGCTGTAATACACATTTTTACATGTATCTGATTGTTGAATAATCTTCACTGTGCAGTGAAACTGTTGTATTACTGGTGACATCAAAATTAATGAAATTCGGGAGAACGAGGAAGATGATTCGAGAATGAGCACAATGAGTTTTTCGAGTTTTATTTAATACAACGATTTCATAAAGACTGGAAGCTTCGACCAGCACAAAGTCTGCACATTTCAAAATCGTAATGGTCAGAGAGAAAAGAGTAGGGACATGCATATGTAGTACAAATACATTGTGATTGTGCAATTGTATTCGGGTATATAATATCGGAATAACCAAAAAATCATCCACGAGCACATGCCTACTTGTGAAGACTATCTACATAGAGACAATAGAGAAGCAGGTAAAGATGAGAAAAGTCTGGTCTTTTTCAGAACTGTATGTTCCTTGCTCTTCGCCGATCATTAAATTATGACGTTTAAATTATGACGTCAAAGACGAAAAAATACGTTAAAAATTCTTGGATGTTATTTTGAAATAAAAAGATACTTCGATGAAACAGCACTTTAGATGGTTTTAGCACACTCTTAAAATATTTCAAAAATTCTTTCCTTTATAATCAATCAATAGTTGTAAAATGACTATAATATGAGGTTCAGTCCGCCTGATCTTTGCACATGCAGTTATTCCGCATGACAAAGTCTAATCATTTTAGTTGTTGATTGATTGTTAAGAGAAAAGAATAGTTTTCGAGGTATTTTAAAAGTGTACTAAAGCCATCTGAAATAGTGTTTCATCGAATCTTTTCATTTAAAAATGGCATCTAAGAATTTTCAGTGTACTTTCTCTGATGTCATAATCCAACATGGTCGTGGCGAGAACCCAGGAGCCTTAAGGGAATTCCTGAACTGTCTATTATCGATAAAATTACTATTTTTATATTTCTAATCTTTTTTAATTTGACAGAATTAATGCGACAAAAATATACTTTTCCAACTACAATTGCAAAACATACATCAATTATTCCAAGAAACGATTTTATTCGGAAAACGAGAAATAATTATGAAATTATAGTTTTCTCTCATTACCTATTTTTATCCCAATAAGATATCTCGAATTACAGACGAGTTGTCAACTAATCATAATATGCTTCATATAAAAAGTGTACACTTTATATGAACGTAAAAATTACCTGAGATTGAAGTACACAAAAAAAACTGTTATTCTCTAAATTTATGTCTAATATAAAAGTATAGCTTGTATTATATGATTCACATATGTATATGTGCGTGTGTCATACAGTGGGAGGAGCATTTTTGTGGACAAAATTCGGCTAACGATAAAATTCTCAATGGATTAAAACATTTTTTTAAAGTTGAAAATTGAATAGGCTCTAAGTATGTTCTGCTTAAATTTTGATTATAGTTCAAATAAAAAATGGCGAATCCAATAAAGTAAGCATAACATATCAAAACTATACGATTCATTAAAATCGATTTCTATTTCAAAATTCGGCTGTTTGTAAATTTTTCCGTTATCTTAAAACCGCAATTTTTTTTATTCAAATTATGGATTCGAAATTATCGATTATACAAATATATAAAAACATTTCTGAGTTAACATGCACGTTTTGTTACGAATTCATTCACAATCAATCGTACAGTTTTAATGTTATACCCACTTTATTGCATTCGCCATTTTTTATTTCGATCATAATCAAAATTTAATCAGAACATACGTATAGCCTATTTAATTTCTAACAAATTAAAAAAACTTTAAAATCCATTAAGAATTCAATTATGTTGACTGAATTTTTTCCACAAAAGGTGCTTTTTTCCCTACTGTGCGTTGTTAGGTATAATAGAGTAAAAAACAAGAGTACATATTTAAGTTCAAATATAATAGTATGGACGCAGAAAAAAGTGACTCCATGTATGCAATGCATGTTAGGCTCAAAGATCGAAAACGCTCATTGAACGAAAAAACCGATCACAACGCGTTCTGACTTCTCCAATTCAACCACAACGCGATATTTGTATCATGACATTTTCAAAAACGCTCATAACGCATTTTGATATGTTAAAAAAACCACAAAGCGCGAAATTCGTGTTGAGGTTCTTTTAATAATTGACCAAAATGCATTCTGGCAATGCAAAAATACCACAATGCGTTGTGGATATTTATTGATGCAGCCATGACGCGATGTGTCCTGCTGGTGTATATACATTCTTGTTCGTAATTTGTTGTTCATTTAGCGTGCAGTAATATTACAGTGTGGACGTATTGTTGATTGCATGCTAATCATGTCCGCTAAAAAAAAGATTGGTATAACTTTGGGGAAAACCCACTCATATAAAATAATAGATAACAATACCCAATTCCTATGTATTTTTGCTTTCTGAATACTAAACGAATATTAAACTTAAAAATGGAGTTCACCATTCGTTGAAACGTGAAAGTTATAAACCGAAGTTTGGAGCTTTATCTAATCATTATGAAAATAAAAATAATAAATGAAAAGGTAAGGTTGTGGCTTAATATATTATTATACATATAGATATGAATATGTGTATAATTATAATATTAATAAAAATAACTAAGTAAATGATAATTGATAATATTTTACATTTTCTATAATTGTAAGATTACATATAATTTTTAATATAAGTTTGAAAATTACAAAATAAGTTATTGCTGATTAATTCTATTGTTACAAATCTCTACTACATCTATTACATTTCTAAATTTGAAATTAAATACTGATATACAATATTTATGAAAATAAAAAAATATAAGATAAATTACGAATAATTATTTAGAGTAATAATAAATAAAGTAAGCACATCAGAACGCGTAATTATTTTTTATAGAATTCCATGTGTAGTCAGGATTTTCATGCGGAATTGGCACAGGTCAGGATCTTTATTTAAAAATAGGCTTTAGTAATCAGGAGAATGCTGGAATATTAAGTATGTATATAGCGATTGTTCCAAATACGTTTATTGCGAATATTATTGAGAGATCGCTCAGGTGAAATCTTATCACTCGTCCAAGAGCAGGCTGATTGTCAGAACCGAAAACGGGTGTGCGAGTGTCAGAGTGAGTCTTTTAGAGTGTGTCCTTACGTCTCGAAATTAACCATATTTATACTGCTTGTCTCGATTCTCATCCCTTCCGTAATTCCTCGAACCAATCGCTTAAGCGACTGAAAATTCATGTTTCGATGTGTCCATACGGACGTTTGTATCTCACGTTTTATCGTCGTGTAAATATTATCGATGTACATAACTGATATATGTTATTACAAAGGAAGGTGAGACAGTATCTCGCAAATAACAATTAATTAAATAATACGGAAAAATAATCATACGACTACATGCCATTCTGACATTTTGACCGTTTCGGGCAAAGAGTAAAGTATACATTTAAAAGAAGACATGTCTTAATCTCACCCTCGGAACAAAATACAATACACGCAGAAAAAAAATATAAAATAAAATACATATTCTGATTTCATTCTCGAAATAAAAAGAAATCGCGTCACATAGTCAATGATCCCATATCAATTTTTAATATATATGTATACGGACGCATCTGATCTGGTGTGCATACACCAGTATACGGTCACTGAGTCAATTGAAAGCCCTCGACATCGATGACAATATAACGATCGTGGTCTAAGACCTTTTTTATTATGTACGGACCTTTAAATTTAGGTATTAATTTTTTATTTATTCCGGTGTAGTTTCGATATTGCGTATTTCTACGTAGTCACCGATGCTATACCTGTGTGCCGGTCCTTGTAAGTTGTATCTCATTTCGTTCTTGCACTGTGATTCGTTTATATTCGTACGAGCCTCATCATGAAAATCTGTATTATCCTGTCGCAGAGATATTTAACTATTATTTTCTTAAATTTTTAAATAAAATTTATTTAATTTAAAAAATTTTTTAAATAAAGAAAAAATAAATAAAATATATCATAAAAAATACAATATATGAAATAAATTAAATAAATAAAATAAAATAAATAAAAATATAAGAAATAAACTGGCCAAAGGTAATAAATAAAATTAAAAAAAAATTAAATAAATAATTATATTTTGTCCATTTTTTGAACCATAAATTTCAAACTTTTTTCATGGCAAATAGTATTATCCCAGACAACACTATGTCTAAAAGTAGCGGCGCATAAGACATCTTTAAGTAGTCTTTAAGAAATCTTACGATATGATATCCAAAAGACGTCTTAAAGATGCGCCAATTTGAGACATGGTGTTGTCTGGGATTAGATAAAACATTAATCCCAGTAAAATTTCAAGATGAGCATAGGCATGATTCCGAAAATACAAGGAAGTGAAAGTGATGATCTCCAGTTAGTCCATCACTTTCACCCTTTAATATCTCCGAAACCGTGCCTATGCTCATATTAAAATTTCTTTGGGATTAATGTCCCAGATAACTTTGACAGTCTAGCTGTGCAATTTCAAAATGAACAGTATAAGGGAGCAATGACAAAAGCAATGCATTATGGATTAGTAATGGAGTATTCTGCCAAAATTTCCTTAAGTGCTATGACAGGCATAAAACTTTATGATATTGGTCCAATTGTGTGTGCAAGACAGCCTTTTTTGGCTTGCAGTCCAGATGGGATCATTGTTAACGGAACGGAGATGGATATCATTAAAATTAAGTGTCCTTATTAGTGTAAGGACTCTGTTATTATCGATAAGAATGTAAACAAATCTTTAATCGACTACTTAATTCTCAATGCTCTTGGTGAACCTGAATTAAAACAAACTCATGTTTATTACACTCATTATCAGATACAAACTTTGTTGTACATAACTAGCAATCGGGCTAGCATCGTGCAAGTTATTTATTTTTTCCCAGCATGATTTGGTAAATGTTTTTCGGAATGCACAATTTTTGAAAGCTGTTATCCCTAAAATAGAATATTTTTATTTCAAATATTTCCTCCCAATCTTGAAAAATACGTGGAAATAATTAACAATATTACTAAAAAAATAAAGTTTTCAACAAATTTTAATACTTGTTTTAAAAAATGTTTTTAAACATTTATTTATTAATGTTTAAATGAATATTGTTTCTTTATTTTCAAAGTTTATAAAGTAGATATAATTACTGTTATAAATTGTTAATTTACATCATTATCTATACATTTCTCGTATTAAATATATGATTCAAAACTTTCATTGTTGTCTTTTATAATTGTTTGCTTGAGATTTGCAAGAACGCATGTCATATACATAACTTTATCCAATTTAGGTAATAATTCGATGTTTATATACTCTAAAATTTTTACACGTTGAATAGCATGCTCAACGTGAATTGTGACATTGGCTATTTTGTATTGTTATATGACTTCTTCCCTCATAAATTGTAGGTTTGTGGCAAATGGTGGCATTACTAAAACACACTGACGTTTGAAAAGTTCAATTTTTATTGTAGGAAATCCTATATCGGCCATAATTTCACCTCCAAGCTCTACTAGGTTGATAAAGCCCGGTCGACCACAATGAAGCAATCGGTAGATCTATCACCGTAACCTTTAGATAAAAAAGTAATTTTTCCAAATGGATTTATTCCGATTAAATATTTTACTGTAAAATCGGATTTGTAAGAAGAATACATTAAGGCACGTTTGTCAAGTAAAGGTGGAGTATCTGTACGAATTTCAGTACAGTCTATGATGGCTCGACAGTTAGGATAATTTTTAAACACAGAAGGCATTGAGGATCGAATTGTCTTTCTACTTGGCCAAAATATCCAAGTTTTAGTATTTTCATGTAAAGTTTCTAAGACATTATAAAAATGGTCGACATACTTGACGCAGAAATATGAAAAATACTCCTATGGCTTCGAACGTTAAACCAAGCTTCATTTTTATTAAAAATAATAGTAATTTGTTCTGAACATTAATTACTTTGTAATATTTCGGTTGTCCATGTGTTAGAGGTTTTATAAACGCTAAGAGGATTTGAAACATGGACAGTGAGATTCCAGCCAGCTGTTTCATATCTGAATCAGTCTTTATATCAACGAAACCTATAAATCCAGGTCTTATATCACAATCGGGACTTACTCCAACAGTCTTTGTTTATACAGGTTGCGGAGCAACAACAATAACTTTTTTAGAGCGATTCTCAGGCTTATTGACATTGATACATGTTTGTGTTGATGCTTCGTTAGTCGAAGGATCTTGCCAGCAATACATAAACGATAAGTTGTTTTTAGGAGGCGTGTCTAAATCTATTTGCGTCATGACACTACTCATATTGCGAGAAGCTTCAACTACTGCGTCAGATGTTTTAGTAGTCTCGAATGAAACAATCAAGCCTTCTTCATGTTGTAGAGCCACTGGGTACAAACTGCAATTTACGTTGTTGTCTTTTAACTCTTTCCGTTCTTTGTGAATTTTCAACATTTCTTTTTCGATAAATGCTTGGAAAAATTGTTGGATTGTATGCAGCTGTTGTAGGGTCCTCTGATCTTTTACTTCCTTCAAAATGAAGATTACAGATTCTCGAATTTTTATTTGGCTGCCATGCTTTACTATTTGATCTAAATAATAAAAAATAGAATGAAGAAATGATAAGAAATATAGCTCGAATTAAGCTATGGAATTTTTGAAATCAATGCAATAAATAAATAATCTTTAGGTTATACATACGCAATTCGACGAACTGCAATAATCCATTTCTTTCAACGTTCACATTCTCACGGTTTTTCCGGAAACGAAAAACAACTTAATTCGGGATTTTTTGAATCACGAGATGTATAGTTCACAACGCAACAAATACGAGCAGATTTTTTTTGCGAATTTTCGGAGTTCATTTTATATGTGTCATATTTGTTCTACACGAACTTTTTGCGTACAATTATTGCAAACTTTGGCCGCATAGCGGCTCCACTCGAGCTACTGGAGAAGCGTGTTCTCTATGGAATGATGCTTTCTCGCCATTGTGCGGCCGTATCGGTTGCGACGCAAGGGGATACCATCCTCGCGCCGCGCCCTCCCAAAAAGTTTAGAGGGCGGGGTCGCGGCTCGAGAGTACCCGCTCGAACTGCCACCCCGCTACGGAGTGGCGCTCTCTCCTTTTCCCAAAGGAAACAGGGATTCGGTATCTAGCTCCGGAGGCCCTCACCAAAGAAACCCTCCCAGAAGGGGAAGGAGTCTTCACGGCAGTGGTGCCGCCGCCTGCCGCATCCCCTCGCGGAGGGACCACGTACTAATGGAGGTCAAATTTGCATTTGACCCCCTATGGTCCCCATGTCCCTGAGATCGTGATTCCCTCTCTCTCGGGATTTGACCTTCGATCTAGAGACATCGCCGAGACCTTTCCTGGGAGGAGTGCCTTGGCGGGGAGAGCATAGCGCTCTAGGGGTCCGCTCCCGCTATTGAATCCTATCGGGCCTATTTGCTCGATGAGACTACCCTCCCTCTTACTCCCCTTTTTTCTAAGGAGTGAGGAAACTCGGCCTTTGCCGTTCAAAGGTCTCTACCTTTGCTACTTAGCCAAGGGAATCCTGCCGAACATCTGGTCGAGCTCCCTACTGGAGCGATTCTGTCGTCTCTTTGCGAGGTCACCGGGAGAGAAGTCCAGGACTTAAGCATCCCAGGTCCCCCTTCGACATCATCCGGAACGGTGCGAGGTGCGACTCCTGCCCCCGTCTCTCTCCTTGGAATTTGGTCGTCTTCTCCCGGGATTCGATGGAGAGAGCGGGTTTTCTCCGCAGAGCGGGTCTTCTTCACTGACCTGCTTTACCTGCACCTGACAGGTGGGGTGCAAATTACTGGACACCTTGTATATTATAATCATTATTCTTACCGGGGAATAATAGACAAATTTGATATAAGTTAATAGGACCGACGTTGGGAAATTTGCGAGTATAAAGTTATTACTTTATTGGGCGCCAGTCCGCGCCACACTAAATACACGAAAAAGTGTAAATTCTCTTAAAATCCCGAATTTTCCGTGACGGCGATAACTCGGCTTTCTCAGAGCGTCAAGGGGTAGAAGAGGAAGTTCATATAGGAAAGTACGGTATTTGAGAATGGTTATTCGAAAATCACAATGTTCAATATGAAAGAGAATATATTATCGATTATATGGTAAAAAAAGTAGTTCGTGTAAAATAGAGTGATTATATGTAATACTTTCTTCTTTGTATCATATATAGAAGAAAGTATTACATATAATATAGTAGCTCGTAATCAAGCAAGTAGATAATATAAAGATCAATAGGTGATCGAGTATAAAAGATATATAATAAAAAGAAATAAAAAAGCAATGGAAATAATCGATTTTTTTACATATTTTAAAAGATGCATATTTAAAAAATGTTCTCTCCAAATTTCAAAAAGAAATTTACAAAATTGACGGAAATATAGCATTTTCTGTGAAGAGGTGTTAAGCAGTCGATGCGCCGAGCGGCAGGTATACGGTTTATTCGTAGTAAAAAACCTTTTATGTATTCTACCAGCCTAATCTTTATACACACTATAGGGATCCTCGTTCTTAGAATATATTTCCGTTAGGTATTGCAGAGCCATTTCTTTTGTATAGATGTGAAGAGAGCTCTGAAAAGTATAGTTCAGTCGGTTTGCGGCAGCTTCACAGTTTGCACCGTATCGATCGTGTCGTTGAATTTTTGAGATTATATCATAGATAGAAGAGAAAAAAGACATAGAGTCGGAGAAAAAACAATGAGAAGCGGTGATAGGAAGCGGAAAAATCGAGTCCACATCGATACGAATTAGAAAAAGAACGTTCGAATATCAGCACTTCTTTGAAAAAGCTAAGCAGCTTTCACGAAAGTAATATAACAGTACATTCAAATATTAGTTACAGATTGGTAAATTTTATTACTGTTTTTGCAACAATAAGCCAATTCGTGAAATGTAAAGTGTGTGGAAGTGACGTGGAATTTTGCAAGAATAATCGACGAGGTCTTGGATTTAAAATTATCATAAAGTGCAACTTGTGTGCGCCAAAAGAAATTCCCTCATGCCCAACGATTAAAAATGCATACGAAATTAATCGTCGATTTATTTTTGCAATGATTGTTAGGAGTGTCAGGTGGAGCAGAGAAGTTTTGTGCATTTATGGACTTGCTGCGCCCTATTTTCCAATCATTTTATAATACTGCTACCGACCAAATTTGCAATGTCACGGAATATATAAAAAATTATCATTACAAAGAGCTGGCGAAGAAGAAAAAAATTAACTATAAAAAATGTGGAAAAGAAGATGGGTTTACCGTTTCCGGCGATGGTTCTTGGCGCAATCGTGGTTTTACTTCTTTACACGGTGTGATAAGTATCATCGGTTACTATTCTAAAAAAGTACTTGATATTTGTGTGAAATCGGCATACTGCAAGGCATGCGCATTATGGCAAAAAAGTAATTCCGAAGAGTATTAAACTTGGCTAGAAAACCACGCTGAAAAATATGACGTAAATCACATTGGTTCTGCAGGCAAAATGGAACTTGACGCCGTTGTTGAAATGTTTCAAAGGGCTAAAGAATTACACAAAATGAAGTACGTGAATTACATCGGGGACGGCAATTCAAAAACGTACAACAAAATTGTAGAGTTGATTCCACATAACGCAAAAAAAAAAGAATGTGTGAATCACGTTCAAAAACGAATAGGAACAAGATTACGAAATTGCAAAAAAGCAAAAAGGGCCTCGGCGGAAAGGGCAAGTTGACTGGAAAGCTTATTGAAGAATTAACTTGTTGAAAGTTTTGTGGGTAGGTCGAATAAACGATTTCTACAGTCGTAATTATAAAGGTTTTCACTCTTTAATGAAACTTTATCTCTCGTGCGCCGTACTTGACTATCGTGACACAAGACAATACAATACTAAGCTCGTTCGTCTTCCGGCCTCAGAGGGAACAGGTGCCGGAGAGGGGGAATACTGCCGAAGTCAAGCGCGCTACTTATACGTGCGTGTTATCGCAGGATATTATAGACTATATACTTTATAAAAAAAAATGTGAGAGTTTTGATTTATTTTAACATAACTACGTACTATGGCTTTACAATTCGTCGCAATAGTAATTCTGCAGAAGACATGAGGAAGGCTAGTTGGGCAACATTTTACCATAAATGTTCTACCAATGAAGTTCCTCAACATCAGAATTGTCTGAAAGGAGAAGACTCGTGGTGCTCATGGCAGCAGGCAAGTGCAAAAGGGACATTGGCCAACTATACACATAAACAGGCATTGCCTGTAGATGTCATTGAAGCAATAAAGCCTATATGAGGATCTTAGCAGAGACAATCTTTTGGAGCGATGTTTAGGCGCTTTTAACCAAAACAATAACGAAAGTCTAAACGCCGTTATTTGGAAATTCGCGCCAAAGACATCATTTAGCGGCACTTCTACTATCAAGATTGTCGCTAATATTGCCACCATACTTTTCAACGACGGACATATAGGCCTCATGGATGTCTTGGAGGCATTAGGTCTTAAAATTGGCGAAACACTATCAATACTTTTTTTTTTTTTTTTTTTTTTTTTGCGATCGGCGCGGGAAGAGGGAAGTACTCTTTATTACTACCCCGGGACCGGTCTCGGGGTTATGTGGGATTCAGGCTCCACTATGTGCGTCTTGACATGGCTTCATCGCCTACTATCCACTAAACCCTACCCTTGGGTGTAAAAAGCAACTCTTCTCTACTGTTGATCAGCCGGGTAAGAACTGTTGTACACATGGCTTTTACCCGATTGATCCAGTTCTACGGTGTTATCGTTCCATCCTTACCGGATCCCTCCAATAATGGTAAAATTAAATATCCCCCATATGTTCGTAACCCTCATGTGTTAAGCATACACCCAGTCATCACCAGTTCATGCAAAACTGCCAAGGATTGTTGTACTATCCCCCTTAAATTTATCAATACTTATACTGCTACGCAATTGACGAGAAGCGTATTTGCAAAGCCGAGCGCCAAACACATAAAAACACGCACGAGAGCCGTTTAACTGCAAAACAAAATATTAGCGCCGGCGATGACCATTTTATGGATGCTGAGGAACTACTATATGGTCCAGGAATAGCTGATTAACAATGAGTTAATAAATTTCCTTTTTATTTATAAATTATCTGCAACTAAAACTTTAAACGTGTTTTTCTCAAAACGAGATTTTTTACCCACGTTGACGGCAAATAAAAAAAAACTGTTTATCCGATTAATATGATTAAGGTCGCATTTTGTACAAAAGATCAGTCTCTTTTATAGTACGTAGGGTTTTTTTAATTAAACGCTTTTTTTAATTTTTTTATTAACATAAGAGCTCAATTTTTTTCGTAAAATTTGAACATTTTTTCAGCAGTCTACCATTTTGTTATTTTTTGAGATATCGATTTTTCCCTACGTAGTGTAATAGACATAGGCCTCTAATTTCTAAATATTTGTGGTTTTTTTATTTCAGATGATCCGTATGATCCAATCACTGTCAACGCCACAAGCACGATTTTGCTGCAACGCATATTTGGACACCACGTATATTGAAAGGAGACCGATAAATTTGGCTAAATATTTTTTTCTTAACTTTTAAATGTGTATACTTTTACTGTAGTAAACAACCAATTTATTTAAATGCATTGTTTGAATGAAAAAAAGATCCTAAAAATACCTATACTTTTCAAGTCATTACACTGTTGTGTCTCCTTAAAAAATATAAATTTTATAATTAAAATGATTTAAGCTTTTAATTAACAGTATAATAATAATAATAATGATATGTTAGTAATAATAGTATAATAATGCACATTATGAACTTATTTAAACATTTAAAAAGGTAAAGGTAAATAAAAAAATGAACTAAATGTTTTTTATAGAATTTATTGTAAAAAATGTAATAAAATATTAACGTACAAATAATTTTTTATAGAATTTATTTTAATTAATATAGCAAAATATTAATGTAAAATCAAGGAGAAGAAA